TACACATTTATGTTTAGTTTCCTCTCCTAAGTAGAACTTACACTTCGTCTTACTTGGTATTTTCTAAATTTACTCCATGAATAAGTGAAGATTCTTCTCTCTTTCTGGCTTTGGATTTCCTTTACAGCTGCAGAAGTCTTAGTCCTTTGTGTTTGGATTCTAGTCCTTGGGACATTGGCGGCATTGTAATTGCCAGATGCAAGCCTTTCCAAAGCTACAGAGAGAAACCCTGTCTCAAAAAAGGAAAACCATGGTATGTAAATTCTATAAAGAATTATTTATCTGAAAAATACATTGTAAAATTTGAATAATTTTGTGTTTCTTATTAGTCTGTTGTGGGCTGTGTTGGATGTAGCATTCCTGAACACCAGGCTACTATTTTTAATCTTCATTAAATAGTAAATGAACCATGTGTGTGAGTACCAAAAGCTGGAGAGAAATGTAGAGCCTCCACTCTGGGACTCTGCTCGGGTGTCCCTCCATCAGTCCTTCCTGTCCCCTCCCCAGTACATTGGACTCTGTCCTGATTGGGGGAGACTCAGCATGAAGAGCCCTTAGATCGCGTCTCCATAAGACAAGACTGTCCAGTCCTGGTTCCAATTGAGGAATTCATTCTATTATGAGATGTTCTGTCTTCATGGTGATAGAAAGTGTCTTTGCCTTGTGTCATTTCTGTTTCTGTAGCATTCCCAGGAGAGAGACAGAGTCTAAGAACTACCTGAACTTCTCCATGTCACATCTTGTATCCTACACATGGTGTATAACTGTCCCAGAAGATGGTCTCCTGGGCTTTGTATGTGGTTAACAGAGAAGAAGCAACATGGAGTGGAGTCAGGAAACACCCTTGCTGTCCTCTCTGCACTTATTCCACAAGCTCTGCAATGTAGGGAGCCGGTTCCTGCATTCTCTATTACAATAATGGTGCCTAAAGACACCAAGATGTAAATTACTTCACAGGCGCTGGGTAATCTCCATTCCTTTGATCTCTGCCTATCCCGTGGCTCATTTGGCCTGAGGAGCTGAAGCCATTCATAGGGTAACACGTCCCAGGCGGCTGCTTGCCAGCCTTTATTAAGGAAATGGGTTTCTTAGTTCAGAGTCTCCGCTCTGATAAGCTTATGCTCTCTCACTCTCAAGATGCATTAAAGCTTGTCTGCAGAAGGATCCGAGTGTCCTGCGTGTATTTCTTGCCGGCCGAGAAAATACAGCGC